TGCAAAGGTAAGAGAGACAGTGGAAGACAGACCTAGCTCTACCAGAAATTCACACAGATCTGACAGCCTTACAGCTGAGAGGCAGAACTAGGGAAGCCCAGATTGCCCAACAGACAGACACCATAACACTCTGTCCACAACTCTGGTGAGGCCTTACAACCCCTAGGTTGCGTCAAGAGGCTAACTTAGGCAGGGGTGAATGATGGTACATCCTTCCCACGGGAAGTAATCAATGCCGTCCTTCGGGCCTTCCTACYATAAAGGGGAGGAGCGTGYGTGAGTACCCTTTGTAATCATTTCTGACTTGCCGGTGGAATAGGAACCGGACTGATGCTCCCCAGAATGGAAAAGGAGCCAGAACCGTAAGGTTCTGTTCTAAAAAAAAAAAAAAAAAAAAAAAAAAAAAAACAAAAAAAAAAAAAAAAAAAAAAAAAAAAAAAAAAAAAAAAAAAAAAAAAAAAAAAAGAGGAGGCGAACGGACAGCAAGGTCGCCGAGCTTCGGATCGGCCGTACTCAAGGGTAGGATCAGCCAGATTCACGAGCAGGGAGGAGAGAACAGGCCGAATACGCTCCTCACAAGCATACAGGCTGAACGGGAGTAAAAGCCGACTGGCAAAGGAATGACAGGGGACAAAGGAGCATATCCATAACCAGACACAGAGGCGGCAAAGGGAGGCCGGGAACAGACAACGGGGAAGAAAACAAACATTGGAGGGAGAAAACAAGGGCGTTCTCACGGAAGGATACAGGGAAGAGAGAATACTCGTCTGTACCCACATTGGACAGGCTGACCACAAAAAGATTCATAAGTCCCAGGCTCCGCGCAAAGGTCTCCAGCGAAGGAAGAACAGGGGCGAAAAGAGAGGCTTTAAATTTAAGCTACAAACCATACGGGAGACCAACGCAAGCTGCAGCAAAGAGAGGGAAAGAGATAAGCGGTGGTGACCTAAAGATACAGTAAAAGAGAGGCTCACACACCCCGTATATCTTTCAAGGAAAAGGAACAAGAAGCGGAGGAACCCAAGGGATATCAGTGTAGTTGTCGAACAAGGGTTTAGGGTTTAGGGTTTCTAGCGACATATAGAGAAAGAGAGAACGGGACAATAAGGGTCAAGGGAGAAGGTGTCTCACGAGCAGGCTGAATAAATGGCAGTCTACTTGATAGCAGGACAAGGGAAGGCCTCTTTCTAGAAGGAATAGGCATATTCGATGGATCTGGGCCCCAGGTCTGAGAGGAAAGAGCGTAACAGGGCAAGCTGACAGTCAATCCTCCACTAAGGTGGAGCAATCAATGCTGATCAGGGGTCCTTCGGCCAGACGGAAGGAAGCGTGAGTGGTTCTTTCCTGATGTATTGATGTTTTTTTTAGACTTGCTGGTGGAATAGGAACCGGACTGACGCTCCCCAGAATAGAAGGAGCCAGGACCATAAGGCCCTGCCTTGTTCAAAAAAAAAAAAAAAAAAAAAAAAAAGTGCAAGTAAAATCTCGACAAGCAATGTGCAGTCCGATACATACAAAATGGTGCTTTATAGCGCGGGGAAGACTTAGGTACAAATCCGGACCTGACCGAGACTGACCTCTTTCACGTAGTACAAGATAGTGAAGCAGAATGCTAGAATAATAATGACTAGCCCAATCAATGTTTCAGCGCAGACCAAACATACATCATGCCCATCACAAAGTGTCAATTAGTTTGAACTGTTCTGGGTGATGAATTAACTGGGCGCCGAAGACCAGGAGGAGAAGATGACGTGCAAACTCGCAACAGAATGACGCACATCCCCCAACACCTTATTGGACAGCCCTCATCCGAATTTGGAGAGAAATTATGCCAAAAAAGGTCAAGAAGCCCAAATCCACAGAAGAAGTTCTGCGTCAGCCCCTGTTTGGGAACCAGTGTGTGGGGGATGCAGGGGATCTGCCACTGTCGCTAGCAAGCAGCCAGCGATGACTCTCATGGATCAAACATGGGATATGGAGAGTATGTCACATCTGGGATGAAGAAACGAAAGACTGGATTGATGAGGAACAGCTGAGATATCGCTTAAAGGGGTGTTGCCGCCGTGACGAGAATCTGACAACCGTAATTAACAGTATCCCTGACAGTTGGAAGAGCTTCTAAAAGAGGATTTCTCGGGGAAACCAGGAGAATGGAGCTGACCCAGGAGACCGTACCCAAAGAGCATACCAATTCCACCGCAGATCTCCTGGCTCAGACCTTCAGGAGTCTTCACCTCCTTCCCGATAGACCGTACAAACCACAAATCCCTATCCATTCACAGCAGTGATCCACAAGAAATAACCCTGACTTCTTACACGCTCCGGAAAGTAGAGTACTAGGCATCTGGCCGAAAACTATATTCCAAATGGACACAGCAATCCAAGATCTAGAATTCGATCCAGAGGAGTGGGCGTGGCTCTCAGGCAATAACAGAATCTGTAAGACCCCTATTCGTATAACGCAGTACACAGTCAAAATGGGATATAGGATGCTACTAAAGACAAAGCTGCGTAGCATCGTGTTCGCGTTCGGAGGTGAACCCGAACATGTTTGCCCGAACGCGAACTAGCGCCCAAAACCCTCCGAATGCGAACATAAAAAAATATTAAAAACAAGTGCCACGCAGAGACAAAGGACCTGGAGCCGGTAATCAAAGAAAGATGGATCAAAGTGCTAGAACAACGAATGGAGCCAATCTCCAAACTTCCTTGGCGAAAGTACAAATCAATACGTCCACCCGTCGTCCAGTCAAAATCAGAAGTCTCCAATGGCTAATAGCACATGCACCTAGAGGCGACGAATGGAACCATACTGAACCTAGAGGCAACGACCCCCATCTCCATCACATGGACCAAATACCTTCTCATCAGACCAATTAGAATCCGAAGTATGCAATGGCTAATAGCACATGCAGCCCTTCCAGTCAACCAATGGCTACATGTGAGAAGGAACCATTCCGATCCCGATAGCTCCGAATGCTGCTCAATGTGCAACAACGGCTTACCCGAAGACATCCCCCACTGCCTCCTCTTCTGCCCAGAAGCAACCTGGATATGGAAGAACGTCCATTAGCTATGGTCGATCCTGTTCGCCTCGCCACCCCTTAATGTCCCTCCTATCTCTATACTACTCCTAACTAACATCCCCAGCAACATCACAGGCAGCAGGGAAGTATGGTTCACGCTGCTCAGGAAGCTGGCTTTGTGGGTGATATGGAAACGCAGGTGCACTCAGACAATCGAGGCAACAGAGGTGGCAAGGGAAGAAATGTGGTCACTACTGCTGAGCATGGCAGAGACGGAAATCAGGAGCAGATGGCAGAGAATAGTGAACTCAACGAGGCGCAGACCAGAAGGACAAGCAACCAAGAAACGTACGTTCATAAGGAACTGGTTGCTAAAGGGCAAGGTGGCAATGATAAGTGACAACAGACTGAGATGGAAGAAATGGCATCAGACATAATCATGAAGACTACGAGGGCACCTGCCGGGAGACCTGGCTGAAGGCGCTGTATGGTGATCAACAAAAGGAGGACCGGAAACACAGGGAAGGACAAGGACAAACAACAGAACACAGAGCGGACCCCCCCCACTGTTCTCGTAATATAGGGACTCATTCGACAGGCCCTAAGTCGAAGCCTGAGAGGAACAGATGGTCAGGGAAAGCTGACAGTCAATCCTCCTTAGAAGGAGTAATCAATGCTGGTCAGGGGTCCTTCGGCCAGACGGAAGGAGCATTGAGTGATTAATATGTTGTAACCCTTTTTCGACTTGCCGGGGGAATAGGAACCGGACTGACGCACCCAAGAGCCTAGCTCGGTGGGTACACCCATGAATTGTTGAAAATACAGACCCATGTTCGAATCCAGATGATGGAAGTTGATGAGTAAAAGTTGTAAAAACGAACTATTTCTGAATTACCTGGGACCGGTCAGCTTAATGATGATATCTCAAGGCCGTCGCCCTTAAAAAAAAAAAAAAAAAGGAACCGGACTGACGCTCCCCAGAATGGATATGGAGCCAGGACCATAAGGACCTGTTTGAAAAAAAAAAAAAAGAAGTCTCCAATGGCTGATCACATACAATGCTCTCCCTGTAAACACATGGCTACATGTCCGAAGGAAAAACAGCGACCCTAATAGTTCTGAACAATGCTTGGCATGCTCAGATGACGAACATGAGGACCTAGTACACTGTCTGATCACCTGCCTACTGACCTGTGGGCGAGAGCCTCAGTACTCTGGGACCACCTATTTCCATCTTCCCTTCCCGAACACCCAATCCAATTACTCCTATGGACTAACATCCCTACCCAATTTGACAAATCTGACGCATCTGGTTTGGGATAATCAGGAAGGTGACACTCTGGGTCGTATGGGAGGAGAGGCGTTGCAGGACCATACACAAATCCAGCAATCCGACTGAACAGGTATGGACGACGAGACTCTTCATGGAGACGGAGATCCGGTGACAATGGAAGAAGGTCAAGCTCCAAATTCAGCAGAACCCGGACAAGCAGCAAGAGTTGATATCAAAGTTCAGGAGGGTTTGGTTGGTCCACGGAAAGATAGCGGATATTCACGCACTACAAATCAGGTGGACAGTCTGGCATAACTCGGCTACCCCTAGAGAACAAGAACTTCTCATCGGGATGGACAACAAGACTTCAGAGCCACATGAGACTTTCCAGGATCAATTCAGTTGCTGATCTCTGTGTTTCTTGCATTATCGTTTAGCTGACAGGCTCCCAAAGATGAACTGAGAGGGAACTTGGGGAAAGGCAAGCTGACAGTCAATCCCCCATCATTGTGGACTGACGCTCCCCAGATTGATATGGAGCCAGGACCATAAAGACCTGTTTTAATTTTTTCAATTTTTTTTTTTAAAGATTTTTTTTTTTAAAAAGCATGATTTCCGAGGGAAGATTTTTTTTAAATGTAAATTTGTAAAAGAAGAAAAAAGGAAAGTGGCAGGCAGAAGGCAAAACTTGGGCTACCAACCTCAGACATTGCACGAGTTGCCATTGCCTTGACTGCCATCTGCAAGCAAAAAACATGTCCAAGACAGCTATCAGAAGGAAACAGATTGAACATCCCATGCACCCCACTCTGGTTCAACATCATCAGGTAAGCAGCTCACCATCAGGAAAGCAGCTCCCTGGATGGTAGAGAGAAGAAGGTGCACAGAGATAATCGATCAGATGTGGAAAAGGCAGCAGCTTGGGAAACCGTAGTATGAAGTCCTTTATAACCTATAGAGATGATGTTCATAAACATGGACATAAATCAAGATTGTGCCTCCACGATATGAGCATAGACATTCCATCTGCACACACATGGGCATTGACGGAGTATTCACGTACATGGTATACACATAGACATGGTGTCTATATAGACGTTGAATAACACAGGAATATGGAGTATTCACGTACCTGGTATACACATAGACATGGTGTCTATATAGACATTGAATAGCACAGGAATACGGAGTATTCACGTACATGGTATACACATAGACATGGTGTCTATATAGACATTGTATACACACAGGAATACATAGCAGCCATTGTAAATGCAAGCATAGAAACTGCAACAATAGTGCATACAGCCTCTACGCAGTCCATCCCCACTCTTCCCACCACTTTCACATTGTCCGTATTTGTGCTGTTAGCAAAGCTGTGGCAGGTGACAACTTTCCGAGTGGCCCCAACCTCTTTGACCAATTAGAAAAGACTTTCTGTAACCCCTTTACACCTCTGACAAAGTACACTGTCCGCTTGCCCAAGTTCGTGAGGGGTTGCACCTTCAAACGACCCCATCAGTAGGTTACATCCACCTGTCGAAATCCAGCCCTTGATAACTAAAACAATAAAAAATTACAAATGTCACGCCTGGATTTGAATTCTGAACCCAGGACCTCCGGGTACAGATCCAAATTTTTGGCTGCTATTTTTGGCGATGGATGCACTTTTTCACCCTCAGGGCCTCAGGCCTTACCCCTGCGAAATCCCTGTTCCCACAGGATTCACTGCATTGAGGCACTTTGGACAGGTCTGGCACCACATTTTTAGGTTTTGCTGTGGCGCTATGGGCACCACCTGAACAGTTTTGGGGCTTCCCAGAGCAGCCCCTCAATTGGCTCCAAGGTAATTAAGACCAGAAGTGTTCATGAAGCACAGTTCACTCGTTCCTGTTCTTGACGATAGGCTTCACGTCCCTGCTAGTAAACTACCAACTGGCAGCCACTCCAAGTTCAGTCTCTCCCTTCCTTTCCCGCTCTTTCTCCCAACTGCTGCATGCAGATAGCCTATGTGGCATGTGCCCTTTTCTCCAGACACACAAAATCTCTCTGCAGAACACGAATATAGAGTGCAGTGTGATCAGTGCACCCTTAAGGAGTTTGACTGGTACACACCCCTGAGAAGGTATGAGAACCTAGACAGAGCACAGCCTTTATACGTCAGATATAGTACGTTTGTCCGACATTCACACACTGCACAGGGGCACAGTGCCCCTAGAGCGCATGCCCACATGCACACGTACAAGCCTTATTGCGAAGTACAGCCTAGACCCAGCCTCTAGAAACGCCAAGGGATACTCCTTTCCCAACTGACATGTACAGAGTTCACATCAGCAGATCCATCGTTTGAAAAGAATGGAACGATGGAACAGCAAATATGTGATAGAAACTTTTTAGAAAAGCAGAAAACGTCAGCAATCAATGCTGTTCAGGGATCCTTCGGCCTGACGGAAGGAAGCGTGTGTGAGTGTTCTTGATGTAATGTTTATTTTGACTTGCCGGTGGAATAGGAACCGGACTGACGCTCCCCAGAATAGAAGGAGCCAGGACCATAAGGCCCTGTTTTGTTATTAAAAAAAAAAAAAAAAAACGTCAGCAATGATTCAGAATGTCAGAGAATACAGATGTGCATGCAAAGCAGATACCTCACCTGCACAGTTGGGTTTGCCACATCTTCAATTCTTCTGAGAGAAGCAGCTAATGCCTGCAAAGCAACTCATCAACACCTCCTGTCAGTCAATATATTGTTTTCTTTTTTTGCCCCTTGTGGATGTGTGTGCTTAAAGGGGTTACCCGCTAACATTATTGCATTCATCTGATTCTATCAGGATGTGATTGGTTTACAAACAGTTACATGTGTACTATTCGAGGCTGGGCACAGTCAATCAACTGTTTGCATATTGGGTGTGCCTTCTTCTTCTTTCCTCCTGACCATTTCTCGATTTGTGTGCATCATCTCTAAGCAGGGGTCGTGCTTCTTCAGATCTTCTCCGTATCATTCCATCTCTTATCAATGTCCCAAAGGATAGGACCTGGTTTCAAATTATAAAAAGTTCTTAGGTTTCCCTTCAGAAATTTGCACTCTTTCCAGTTGAAGCCCAAAAGTTGGGACATGAAACAAAAATAAGCCCATTTGACTCATGGCCGTGCACCGACTAACATGAGATTCATAACAGTCCTTTTGTTCTGGTAAAATGAACAGATGATCAAGAAAAAAAGAGAAATAATAGCCTGTATCTGGCTTGCTGCCGAATGGTACACACATGTGACCGTTGATGAACAAACCGTGAAAAACTCCTGACTGATGCAGTAATGTTCGGGCGTAAACCACTTTCAAAAAAGAGAGAGCTAATACCCAAGAATTACACTAGACAAGGTGAGAAGAATGGGTGTCTAGGGTCAGATTTCATACGAATGAATGAAAACCCTGCTTCTGAAGAATCATAGAGCCTTGCGTGTTATGATGAGTGATACTACATTGAGCCTTACATCCACACATACAGCGCCCTTCCCTTCTGCTCTCCACTGTCCCCCTCCATCCTCTGGCCATCCCCTCAACCCCCGTCCTCAACCCATCCCAGGCTTGCTCAACCGTCCACTACCTGCCATGACCCCCTCCTCCCCCCCAAAAAACAGTCAAACACCACAAACACACTACAGGTCACGGGATCAAGTCCCGCAAAGCTGCAAAGCTCCGGAAAAAGTTAGAAAAAGCCTAACTACTTAGTGTTACACCCGCTGAGACCTGCGATTCATTGCATTCTTACCCCCCCCCCCCCGGGAGCGAGGACCCCGAGCTAAGCCTCGTAGGCGCACACGACTGAATTCGCAGACTTGAGAAGTTCCTTCCGCGTAAACCATCGATCCTCAGTACGAGGTTGGAAGCAGAACTTCACAAGGTATTCACAATCGGGGCCTGTGCCCCAAGGTATTCAAATCGCTGGCAAGAAGATGAGCGGACAGAGAGAATAGAAAAGAGAGTAGGCTAAAGTAAGTAGGGAAGTAGTATAGCTGGTTATAGCATAAAAAAACAGCTGACCTGTTGTTGTTTTGATGTTCGAAGGTGTGATGTCGGGCTTTCATTTTCAAGGAAACTTCAGCACAACTGTGTTCTCATTTGGTGTGATCTTCTTGACTTGTCAACCTGCTTTCGACTTTGCTCTCATGTTGCTTGTTCTATTTTTGTGTCTTCGCTGCTGTGGAAAAAATGTGTTCTCATTGGAGAGGTTCCTTGGCATCAGCACTCTGTCTACGTCCCTGAGTTTTGCTTCAGATTTTTTGCCAAAAGTTATGGTCAGCCGCCGCCCCTCGCTCCTCCCCCCTCCCCCCCCCAAGCAGCTGGTCGGTCGACCCTTCGCACACCAGCGTGTATACCACCACAGGCCAAAGATTTGCTGGGGGAAGCGGAACTTTAAAGCTGACAAGGACAGCTTATTTAGAGTGAGTTCTTAAAAAACTGGTATGAATTTTCAGTTTTGTCAAGGGGAAAGGAACCACAAAACTTGCAAAAACAAGAAAAAGTTGGTGTTACCTCAACACCTCACCTTATTGCTGGAAATATCCAACTGGAATCCTTGTTCTTTGCAGCACTGCAACCACACAATTTCAGACAACAAACAAAATCCATTTGCCAAGTATGAGAAAGAGATTCATTTTACAATCTTAATCTTGTCTCCCTCCATTCTGTTTTTCACTTCTTGCTTCCACCTCAATTACAGTCCTTTACAGCCTGGGAGACTTTCCTAAACCATCCTATATATATATATATTGTCTCCTAGGCTACCAGCGGCGCTCCGCCTTGCATGCCCAGCCAGGCACCCGTGCAGGTCGCCCACCAAAATCAGCCCAAAGTTCCAAACCCATGCATATAGAAACCTGGCTGGCTCGACCTCGCGGCCACGTTGCTACTTTGTGGTGGCACAGCGCCAGAGGGCGGGCACAAGAGGGCAGAGGGCCACTGTGGTGGCAGCAGGCGCACGGCGGCGATAGCCGGGCTGCTGGGGCGCATTGCCGGTGTTGGTGGTGGTCTCCGGGAGAAGAGGAGCACACTGTGGGGGAAGGCTCAGAGAGACTTTCCCGAACCGTATTAGCAAGTTTCCTTGAGCCGAAATGCTTTGAGCTTATCAACACTTTGCTCCTCTTGGAAGGGCTGCAGGTATGCTTCCCCGAAAACGACCGCTCTTCGAGCGGCCTCATCTCGTATAAGTGCCAGGGGGCTTGCAAGCAGCAATTCGGACATCTCCGCCGAATTGAGCAGAGCCCTTCGGTACTTCTCACTTTTGTTTTATATCATATCATAGACTGATAGAGCCTAAGGCGGCACGCCCGTCAGTCAGGGCGTTAAGAACAACTTTACATAATAGAGGTGTGAAGCACAGGCTCGTAAGAGCTTGTGGAGTTCTGGGAATATGCACTTTGCCTACATTGGTTTTGTATCCCGCTTTAAGTGACCCTTTCACCAGCGCTAGGAATTTCTCACAGGCAACCTCTTTTTTTATAATTTGCATGATAACGTTGTGATCTACTATATATTGTCACATCACTACAAACTAAAAGAGCGCACTTTGCGGAACAAAGAATAAAAGCAAAAAACGGGCACAGTGATAACATGCAAAAATAAAAATAAAAAGAAAAACA